ATATATACGAAAAAAACCAAACGCGAAAGTCATACATTTTCCTAGTAAAATAAAAATTAAAAAAACCGTAATGGAAGAATTATCCGGAAATCGTAACATCGGGAGATTATAATATAACAATATTTATCGTGATATCGTATAAAATGTTACAAAAATAATCGCTAGACCTCTCTTCTTTTATCTTTATAGTATATGTGCGTCAGATTTTTAGATTATACTTATTTCGTCTTCGAGTACTTTTTATTAGTCAAAACGTTTATGTATAYATATAATATGTTTCTGGTTCGTCGTTTCCGGCGCGTCGTAATTTTCAATAGTAGTTAACTAGAGAAGATCTGTACCGTACCATATTATACCAATATTGTGTCAAATAATTATTTTAACGTGTGTGATTTTACACTGATTCAAATTAAATCTCAAAAAGTGATTACAAATACTTGACGTTTGCAGACCTCGAAAACCATTAAAGCCCTTAATCGAACATCCTGTGATTTCGCACAAAACTAGGCGCTAACGTAACAATTTAATGTAGGTATACTATGTATATATTATGCTTGAAACGCTATTATAAATGCAGGTACGGTTTTTCAATATTACAATTCCGACCTTCAACCACGCCCCTAGATTTCCCGTCCGGTCCGGCGAGCCGAGACTATAATATATTATACATATATTGAGAGAGTGAGAGAGAGAGAATAAAGATCCATAGTACTGTAAGACAGGGGCATCGGAAATCTACGAGAAATAATAATGATACCTAATATAAATTACGTGTATCATATTATATTATATTAAGTACACACTGCCGTCAATAGATACATTTCTGTTTACCAACTATTATAGCTTTATGTGTACATATTATTTAATAATTATAAGTTATAACTTATCATAAGTGACAAATTTAGATCGGTAATTGTGCAGTAAACTAAAATGTACCAACAGCTCATTGTCCGTAGATGTATGGTTGTACTAGGTAGGTTGTACATTATAATATTATACGATGTATTTTTTCGACCAATCGTCTTCGAAGTACCTAATAGAAGAATAAAATATAATTTGAAATGTCAAAATCGGAATATCGTCAACAATTATTTCAAAGAAAAAWAGGGGTGCTTTTTAAAAAAAGCCCACAATTTGTTAATTGTTTAGTTATAAAGTCTTATGACCAGGGATTAAGCATTGTGCGTCTATCCCCTTCCCAYCTCACGTATAAATATAACATRTTATTTAATATAATTGTTCAGTACATATTGATTTAAAGTAAAAACTAATTATCTAATGTATATAATATGGTCTAAATTAATATGCTTCGTAATTTTAGGTTTRAGAGCTGACGATCTGCTCACATATCTCTATACCTATCATCAAAAATACTTAATTTCGTCTTTAATACAAGTTTAAACAACACATTGCCATAGAACCCACGAATAATATGATTGGCGCCTTTTATAGTTAATGATCGAYATGAAGAAATTGTTTTACGTTTGCACGCTTATTCGAACTATTCCGTTTTGCATTCGCACTGCCTTGCACACGTTCAGTGTGGCAAATTTGCGTTCAGTCGAACCAATTTTCGTAAATTAAAAATATATATTGTGACATTATGTCTATAGGTAAAAACAATATAGGTACTTATCCGAGTTTGAAAATCAGTTTTATATGATATTTTGATTTTTAAGAGAATTTAGAGTTTTTAAATCGTAACGAATAAATCGGTCATACTATATATACATCATTCACAACTCACTTAAAAATTGAGCAATCGTAAAAAACCAATCCATAAAAATCCGTAATAGGTACAACCGCGAATAGTCTTATCTTATAGTTGTATAGTGTTATTTGACTAAYTTTTCACAGCAGTTGCGCCTATATATTATATACATAATGATATTATATTCATATACATATATATCAGTATATGGACGTGTGTACCGCTATATCATAATATGCGTATTTATATAATGATAGAGACGAAGAAGACCACACGCCCGGCGTGTCAGATCGTTACCATTTCGACCGCACCCCGTATTTATTTTATTATATACGTTTTTTTTCTCCTAACGACCGACCCTCCCCCGTCTACCACACYGTGATATTGGCCACGTTACGACAGTGTTATTATTATTATTATTATTATGTTATTGTCGGACAGTACCTATGTAATCTTTTTTTTTCCATACTTTATTCCACCGTCCTTCTGTATAGTCACTAGACAGCAGACACGATCCAAACGAACAGCCGGAATATACATCGGTGTATATACCTACATATAGGGCCAGAGTTACCCCGCACGTCGTCTTCTCCGTACCAACACCATAATATTACTGTATATTATGTACTCTGTCGTAGGTATTATTATTATTTTTATTATTATTATTACTCTAATATTATTGTTATAGCTATATCACTTTGATACTGCTACTATAAATTGCTGGTGCGCACTATGCCCTTACTATATAGGTACTACCGCGGTAACAATAATAATAATAACGATAATACCCGTCGGTCGTCGAGACGGCTCCTGTAGGCGACAGTACATCATATATTTATTACATATACATGCGATAAAATTAAACGCAAATGGCCACCGCCGTTATGTAATTGCAGCGTAGGCCGTACAGGTACATCGCCGTCGTAACCGCCCCCGTTCGGACCGGTCGCGCGACGCTGACCTTACCGTGGGAACGAGAAAAGGACGGTCCGTGTCTCCCGATTTCGGCGGGAAATGTTTCACTACGAACCTATACATCATATTATTAAGTTTTAAACATAAAACTAATAGGGAAATCGTATACGCGTTGCGGGAATTCAGAAAAAAGAAAGAAAGAAAAAACGCTTAGGTAGTAAGAATTAAAAATTGAAGAAGTCTCTCCCATTCGTCGTAGATCTAACTGGATCGAAAGAACGCAGTTATCGGGCTTAAAATTGGTAATTTTTGTGAAAAAACCAAAAAGAACGTMATATGCCAAAAGATCGCACCCATTTTCTTATCTTTGTCGTTTTCCGGCACACCGATAACGTAATATTTGGAACGCGAACCATACGATTCATCGACCATTTAAAGGCGCCACGCATATAATAGTGGCCCACCTATCTCGATTGTGTCGCGTTTCTCGACTATTGTAATAATATTGTGTATCTTGTGACTAACGAGCTTTGCGATACAAAATACATAGGTATATAATACTTGCGTTTATCCTACCGTCGAGAATATTGTGCGTGTCACTATTGAAATCGTTTTGTCAAATATTAAGTAGATCGTATTATTGATATAGATGTCTGAGGGTTTTATTTTTCGTAACGAAGCAACGTTTTTTATTGCGTAAAATTCGTGTTGATCGATAAATGTGCGTACAATAAGACAATTTAACAAAAATCGATATCAATATTTTATATAACAAATGTATTATAATTTTTTAGCGTTAATTATTTACGCAAGACCTATACATTTCAGAAATGTGATTTCAGTGTGTGTTAGTGTTTTAGAAAAAAAAAATGGTATTCATAAAATTTAATTGCCATTTTTTTAAAGCAATATTACATTATTATTATTAATATCCAAATCCCAGACATTCAAACTGTTTAAACAATCGATAAATAATATATTCCAACATGCAGTTGTAGTCATTTGGTTATAYAATAACATACATCTAATATAGACGCTGATATTATAATATTATATTAAACAGTTGAAACGTAAACATTTTTTTTAATTTACTAATTTAATGCTTTTTTATTAGCAATTTGTTGCTAACCATTTTTCGTACACTTCAACTATATAAATATTCGTTCGTGTCTTGATAAAACCTAATCACATACTGTCTGCGGGGGTCAGTAACTTGTTCACAGATGAAATAAAAGGAGGTAAAAATAACGTCACGTTTTATCGTGTGGATAATAATCCGAAAGCCCTGAGGAACAACTGTGTCAGTATTTAATAATAATAATAAAAAAACATTTATCGAAATATATTTAGGGTCAATGTGATTAGGTATATAGATTTTCATATCACTAAAATACCATACACCAACTCGTGTAAATTTAGTAAAACGATTAAATTTTGTATTTTACATGAATGATTAATATGTTTTTTTGTATAATATTATATATTTAACACATTTCAACCGGAATTAATATATTTACTTTTCCTGGTAACATATTTTCATACYTTTTAGTTTAAATGATAATTTTATTCTAGGTATACCCACAAATTAATAGGTTTTTAAAATGGTATATTCTTAACAGTAAAATTGAGTTTGTWGAAAAWCATGTGTAAATACAATAGCCAAACTTTAATTTAAAAAAAAAAAGTGATTCTTATTTAATATCTTATCAAAAGACTTGCGTAAACTCTTTGGAGTATGCAGACATGTGACAGARTTGTAGGTGTATACAATATATAGCGAGACATGCGCTCTTTTCCAAACAAAGATAACGATATTTCCGAAAAGTAAACATTTTTTTTTTTCTTTTATCATTATAACTTAAAACTTAGACGTATAACTGTRTCAGGACTATGAAATAGGTATTAAAGAACCAATATCGAAATACAATATTGACAATGAATTGGTAAATTTAAAGGCGTATACACGTAATAAAATACTACGCAGTGAATATTATATGATATTCTTATAAGATAAAATTATTATTTGTATTAATATAAAACAGCATAATACCATAACACCATATTATATATCAGAATGATCATAAACGTGCATAATATACTAAAGTATAGTATTCATATTGATTCGATTATTATACATACACCCACKGGAGGATTATGTATAATATATTACACGTTTGTATACTCAGACGCGAAATCATCATCCGCTGACATTGGGGTGTGTTCTATGACTAGGGATGGACTTCTTATCCGAACGTGTATAATATAATATTCCTATATATATCGAAGTGAATATCTATAATATATATATTACATACTAGTATATTATAAACCACCCTCGAAGGGCACGTTATCATGAGCGAAAACTAAAACCTACCTGAGCGACGTTGATCCTCAATAAGTCCCTGGCGGGATTAGAAATAGCTGCGATGCACACCCGCGGTTACGGTAATATTATATGGATTGGTGGCGGCGGTCGTCAACAATCCACGGTCGGCCGCCAAATCTGAATCATTACTTGCTGTACCACGAAAACGCGACCAAACGAAAATCGATGCAGTACAATTTATAATACTAGGGATTTACGTAWTTTTTTGACGATCGAACAAAATTTCGCTTTTTTTGTTTTTTTACAACACTATCGCGATGCACTGTTGGGAGAAATTACCCGCCGGCGGCGGAACTGGCCGATTAGACCTAGACCAAGTGCATCCGACGGGGGGTGGTCGTGATGAAGGGATGGGTTCAAAAAATAAAACCGTAAAACACGCGTGTCCGACGGGCGCAACGTCACGGGTAGTACTGCGTGCAGTATTGCGGCGGACTCTTTGATACCACGGCGGCGAACCCCCCACCGTGAATCTCCGCCGCCGTTGCCACCGGTTCACCTGGCCTCTCGCCGCAGACCGTATGTCTGCCGCGCGCGCGCTCCCAGTATCAGGTACAAGCTTACTGCAGGTATAACCGTGTTTTTATGACCACGTTATCACGCATTTCGTCACTGCCACAAATTACGAGGGCTGCCGTATCGTCATTATGGATTGGCAGATTTTATAACAATATATCAACGGACTTGCTGTCACCTAACTGAATAATACATATATTGGACATTCGTTCAACTCTCCACGCGCGATCGACAAATTTGTTGGTCTTATTTTTTGGCGATAATATGGGACATTTCTYTGTATATGTATATTATTATCAAATAYCCAAAAATGCCTCYACTAATATTTCCACACTCTAGTATATATTCAAAGCAAGTAAACACTTTTACACACTAATAGATACATAGAATATACATACATATACCTATGCATAAATTAGATGAGTTAAAAAAAAATATTTTTCGGAAAATTTTATAATTGGTACTTTTTATATTTTACACAATGTACTGCAGCTTCCTGAGATATTTACTGTAGAATCAGAACGTTACTTGTACATTTCAAAATACGACTTCGAAAAGCACCTGCAAGCAAATTCTTTATGATTGTCGAGACAGTTTTTCGATACAGCTATGCATCATTGAGTATTAAATGTTATACAAGTAAACTTTTTATTATTTTCAAGTGTCATAATAACTACACAAACATCCACTCATTTTATCACTTAAATTATCGTTTATTTCGATTTTTTTTTATATGTAAATAAATAATAGTATAATGGCTGTCATACAAATCTAAAATTTTCTAAAAATATACAAAATCTGAATCAAAGTTTAAAACATGTTACTAAAAATTCAATTTTTTGGAATATACTTAAATTTTATGAGTTAAAAGTGAATAACAGGTATTTTAGGTATACTTATAAAATACAAATTATATCACTAATATAATATTTTGTTGATTTTATTTTCATATACACCATATTTCAAAACTCATTAATTAATTAACAGTATCAATTACGTTAATCCACATTACGCATAATGATTATCGTGGTTATGAATTTTTCTTTTAAACTTTTATCTAAACATTCTATCGAAACGCATTCAAGGTAGGTAACGAATACCTATCTAACAATTTGCATTCAACACACAGCTGTTTAATTTATCTTGAAAACATTTAGTTACAGTCGGGGAAATCAAGTATGAAAATTACACAACTGTGAGATGTATTTTTACGATTCTTACGGTTTTTTAATTAATGTGCAATAACGCAATATACAATGTAAAGTTATACAATGGAGTCTCTCCACCTTCAACTGCATCCAGTGTAATCGCCACATTATATCCCATGAATTGCAGTCTGCGAACAAATACATTGTAATGTATAACATTATAATATTTAATTATTGTTTGCGCTAAGCATATTTTATTTCATTAAAAAAATTTAAATTATAAGTCAACAACAAACAAAAACAAAATCAAAACACTCAGAAAATTTACGACACCCGTTTCTAACTCGAAATATTTATCTACTATGTTCTGCATATTTAATATAAGATTTACTGTAATAAACGTGTGGTATGATGTTCTCGCCCTTTAAATTTTTTATTCCTAAAATTCTAATGACGATTTAAGGAAACTGAAAAGTCCACACTGCAACACTAATTTCTATATTGATAAAATTCTCTACATACGTATCCATTTACAAATTAACCTACGACGTTTAATCAATTTAATATAAAAATCTCGTTTCGAGTATATTACCATCAAAAATAAAACAAATATTTAATTTTACCACTACATACATTCTAAAGCAATTCACATAATCACATTACATTAGAATATTATTGATTTTCTATATTTTTAGTTTAGAACGTTGTCTCCAATACCTACTCGATACAAGTAATTTGTGACCGAAACTATAAACCATAGCTCATACAAGAACCTATCTAGATACTATATATATATATATAAACCTAAGGTATTCTATGTATAGTTTAGCAATTTTCGAATTATTTTAATTATTAATTTAAGAAATGGGTAATTGTTTGGTAACGGAAATGCAAATAAGCTCATAGTTATATTTTTTAAGTATACATTTTTTTTCTTTTACTTGAAAGGTGAAAAGTACAACTTGAATGATATTTTAAATTTAAAATAATAACTTGACCCAATTCCCACTATTTTTGCGATACRTCATTTAAAACATTCGGTATATATGCAGCGCTGCAGTATGTTTGTAGAGCAATTTAATGACTTGAGAAATTGTTCAATATATTGTATTATGTAGGTACACTAAAATTATTATACGTTGAAAATTGATAAAATAGTGCAATATAAGATTGTTTATTCTACATAATATTTTTTTACAAATTAACGATTATGATATTCCATCCATATATTATTATATTATAATATAATATGCACATATAATATGATATTAAATATACCATGGGATAAGATATATGACATGCATGTGTCCCGCCGTGCAGTTGGCACAATTCAATAACTTTTTCTCGTTTACTTTTTACAAAATATGCAACAACAATAATGGTAATATATTAATAATAAAAAAAACAGTTGGGCACATGCGTTTATATAACGCGCAGCACGTTATTGCGTCTGATAAACGTGCAAAACAGAAAACATTTCATATTTAGAACGAACTGATACACGAACCAGATTCGTATCTATCATCAGCTGTTCTGTATAATTGCGATTTCCGATACAAATCGGTYGGTATATATGCAAAATACCGTCGAGTTCACAGCCCCGTAATACGTCTGTGGAGGAGGCCTATATATATAATATATTATTCTAAGTACACTAATATTATGTATATTATATATATATATATAAATWTTTTTTTCAACATTATACAGTTCTCGCTCAGAGCACTGCACTCGGATCCGTAAAGATTATTACGTATGCATAATATACGCGCGGGTTGTATCAGGGCGTTTCCTCCGTCCAACGCGCATATAGTAGGTTGTAAGCACATAATATAATATAATATCGCCCAGTCGTGTGTAGTAGGTACCCAATACATGTACACGGATTCAACGTGATATAACGACTGCATATACAAACAGAAACAGCATCAACAATAATAATAATATGATATTCGCCGTCGGCTGTTTATTTTTATTTTTTTTTTTTTGCATTGAAACGTTTCCTATGTCCGCAGACGTAATAAATTCGTTCGGACACATTGACAACAAAGAATAATAATAGGTACTACAGTCTCCATCATTATTTACCCTTATACGATTTAATGTAGGTGCTAGGTATACAGTGTGATCCATTATACATGATCACCCGTCAACCCCCAAATTTTCTTCTTTAATGCAGTTATTTAAAATAAGATTTGAGTACATTTTAAATATTCTTAAAGATCAAATTTTCAAACTCTTGAGATTTTGTGTAARTACCTACTGCCTTACTTAATAACGAATTACGTGGAGAGATGCAAACCTTTGTTTTGCGAATGAAAAACCTCCTTTTATATTTTAAATTATCTAACGGATAATTTGCCCGAATATTTCGACGTATCAAAGTCAAAATTTGAACGARTAGTTTTTCAGTGTTTTAACTCAGTGTGCCTACTAAGGATAATAGGATTATCGTTTATGATAACAGATTTGGAATATGTGGGGACTATACCATGAAGACCAACCAGACAGTTTAATGCTTATAAGCAAATTTCTCTATTTTTTTTTCCAATAAACATTATGTATAAACTATAATCATAAAGATTATGATAACATCCACAAGTACCTATATAATATTATTTGTAACATTGTAAAACATTAAGGACATGTTTATTATAATAACATAATATTTTATACTTACATTTGAAAACAATATTTATATTTTGATAGTTTACATTCTACATTATTACTTATAATAATTCATTAAGAGGACGCTACACCCGCATGTGTTGTCTCCGTCTTACAAGTGCGTAACATC